GAACCTATAGATTGCTTTAGGAAGTATGAGCATTTTGATGATGTTGATTCTACCAATCCATGAACATGGTATGTTCTTCCATCTCTTTATATCTTCCTCTGTCTCTTTTTTCAGTGTCGTGTAGTTTTCCACATTTAGGTCCTTTACTTCCTTAGTTAAGTTTATTCCTAGGTTTCTTAATTTGTTTGGTGCAATGGTAAATGGAATTGATTTTTTAGTCTCTGTTTCTGTAATTTCACTGTTGGTGTATAGAAATGCCATAGATTTTTTGGCATTAATTTTGTATACTGCTACATTGCCAAATCATTTATTAAGTCAATTAGATTTTTAATCGAGTCTTTTGCATTGTTTATGTACAATATCATGTCATCTGCAAATAAGAATAACTTTACTACTTCTTTTCCAATTTGGATGCCTTTCATTTCCTCTTCTTGTCTAATTGCAATGGCTAGTACTTCCAGTATTATGTCAAAGAGGAGTGGCGATAGTGGGCATCACTGTCTTGTTCCTGATCTTAGAGAGAATGGTTTTAGTTTTTGCCCATTGAGTATAATGTTGGCTGTAGGTTTATCATATATAGCTTTCATTATTTTGAAGTATGATCCTTGTACTCCCACCTTGTTGAGAGTTTTTATCAGGAAAGGGTGTTGGATTTTATCAAATGCTTTTTCTGCATCAATTGATATGACTATATGATTTTTATCTTTCAGTTTGTTTATATGATGTATCACATTTATTGATTTGCAGATATTGTACCATCCTTGCATTCCTGCAATAAATCCTACTTGGTCATGGTGTATGATCTTTGTGATGTTCTGCTGGAGCCGATTTGCTAAAATTTTGTTGAGGATTTTGGCATCTATGTTTATGAGGGATATTGGCCTGTAATTCTCTTTCATTGAGTTGTCTTTTTCTGGTTTTGGTATTAGGGTGATGCTGGCTTCATAGAAGGAGTTTGGAAGTGTTCCTTCCTCTTGAATTTCTTGGAATAGTCTGAGGAGGATAGGTTTTAGTTCTTCCTTGAATGTTTGGTAAAACTCTCCTGTGAAGCCCTCTGGTCCTGGGCTTTTGTTTGCTGGAAGCTTTTTGATGACTGTTTCAATTTCTTCCCAAGTCACTGGTCTATTGAGATTTTTAGATTCTTCCTGATTGAGTTTTGGAAGTTTGTATTTTTCTAGGAATATGTCTATTTCCTCCAGGTTATTCAGTTTGTTAGAATAGAGTTGTTCATAGTATTTTGTAATAATCCTTTGTTTTTTGGCGGGGTTTATTGTTATTTCACCTCTTTTGTTTCTGATTTTGTTTATTTGATTCCTCTCTCTTTGTTTCTTGGTTAGCCTGGCTAGAGGTTCATCTATCTTGTTTTCCCTTTCAAAGAACCAGCTCTTGGTTTTGTTGATCTTATGTATTGTTTCTTTGGTCTCTATGTCGTTTATCTCTTCTCTGATTTTTGTTATTCCCTTCCTACTGCTTACACTGGGCTTTTCTTGTTGCTCTTTTCCTAACTCTTTCAGTTGTAGAGTTAGATAATTTGGTACCATTTTTTTCTTGTTTTTTTTTTGCAATAGGATTGTTGGGATATAAAATTCCCTCTCAAAACTGCTTTTGCTGTGTCCCATAGATTTTGGATTGTTGTGTTTTCATTGTCATTTGTTGCCAGGATGTTTTTAATTTCTTCCTTGATTTCTCTGGTAACCCAGACCTTGTTTAATAGCATGTTGTTTAGTCTCCATGCGTTTGATTTCTTTGGATTATTTTTATTGTAGTTAATTTCCAGTTTTATGCCACTATGATCTGAGAAGATGCTTGATATGATTTCTATCTTCTTGAACTTGAAGAGACTTTGCCTATGTCCCAAAATGTGGTCTATCTTTGAGAATGTCCCATGTGCACTTGAGAAGAATGTATATTCTGTGGCTTTGGGGTGATATGTTCTGAAGATGTCGATTAATTCCATCTGGTCTAGTGAGTCATTTAGGATTGATATTTCTTTGCTGATTTTTTGTTTAGATGATTTGTCCAAAGGTGACAGTGGAGTATTAAAATCTCCTACTCTGATTGAATTGCTATTAATCTCTCCCTTAATGTCCTCCAACAGTTTTTTTTTGTTTGTTTGTTTGTTTTATGTATTTGGGTGCTCCCATGTTGGGTGCATATATGTTTACCAGAGTTATTTCTTCTTGTTGATTTGCTTCCTTTAGTATTATGAAGTGGCCTCCATTATCTCTTGTTATGTCCTTCACTTTGAGGTCTAATTTGTCAGATATAAGTATTGCTACCCCAGCTTTTTTTTCATTTCCATTCGCCTGGAATACCTTTTTCCATCCCTTCACCCTCAGTCTGTGTGCGTATTTTTTTCTGAGTGGGTTTCTTGTAGACAACAGATACATGGGTCTTATTTTCTTATCCAATCTGTTACCCTATGTCTTTTGATTGGAGCATTTAATCCATTTACATTTACAGTTATTATTGATAGGTATTTATTTGACGCCATTTTTATTCTATACCCCTGTGTTTCTTCTTTGCTTCCTATTTCTTTATTTTTACAGTAGACCGTTTAGCATTTCTTGCATTGCTGGTTTGGTGGTGATAAATACCTTTAGTCTTTTTTTGTCTGTGAAGCTCCTGATTTCACCTTCAATTTTAATTTATAGCCTTGCTGGGTACAGTATTCTTGGATTCAGACCCTTTCTTTGCATGACTTTGTATATTTCATCCCATTCCCTTCTGGCCTGATAAGTTTCTGTGGAGAAATCAGTTGCTAGTCTGATGGGGGTTCCTTTATATGTAACTTTCTGTCTTTCTCTGGCTGCTTTTAAGATTCTTATTTTGTCGTTGGTGTTTGCCAGTTAAATTATAATGTGCTTTGGCGTCGGTTTTCTGGGGTTCATTTTGCTTGGTACTCTGCGAGCACTTTGGATTTGTGTGGTTTTTTTCTTATCTATCGCAGGAAAGTTTTCTGTCATATTTCTTGAAATACATTTTCCATGTCTTCCTCAATTCCTTTTCTTCTGTAACCCCTATTACTCTAATATTGTTTTGTTTTGTTTTATCCCAAAGTTCCCTTAGGCTCTCTTCCTGCTTTTTAATTTTTTTTCTAGAAGCTGCTCTAATTGAGTATTTTTTTCCTTCTTGTCTTCTAGCTCACTCATGTGGTTCTCTGCTTCTTCTAGTCTGCTCTTGATGCTTTCTATTGAGTTCTTCATAGTAACGATGTCATTTTTCATTTCTTCTTGAGTCATCTTCATTTCCTCTTGGTTCTTCTTTATTTCCTCTTGGGTTTTACTCATATTGTCAAATTTGTTTTCCATTCTTTTTAGCCATCTTATGATCTTTATTGTGAATTCTTGCTCTGGTAGGTTGCTCGCCTCTAACTCATTTACTTCCTTTTCTGGTGATGCCTGCTTTTCTTTCATATGCGGGCTGTTTCTTTGTATCCCCATAGTCTCTCTTTTCAGGATGTCTGGTTATGTAGATCTCTCTCTCCTGCACTGATTTAAAGGCACAAAATAAAACACAACCAGGTACAACACACAAGGCACTGAACAGAAATATATTTGTGATATTAATAACCTCCAATAAAGGTGACCACTAGGGAAAGGCAAATTAGGGGATAGGAGAGAAAAAGGAAGAGTAAAAAGATAAGAGGGTGCAAAAGAAAAAGATAGGAAAAAGATATATATATATATATATATATATATATATATATGAAAAAAGGAGTGTCAAAATGAAATTGGGAAACAGGGAGGAGAGGAGAGAGAGAGAGAGAGAGAGAGAGAGAGAGAGAGAGAGAGAGAGAGAGAATAAAAGATAATAGGGGAATAAACTATATATATGGGGAGAGAATTTCAATTGAGCAACCGCTAACCCCAACAAATGCTGACAGCAGTACCTGGAAAATAATACAATCTACAACACCCACTAATTTCCAGCAAAGGAAGGAAAACAGAAGTAAAAAAACAAAAAACAAAAAACAAACAAGAACCAATCAAATAAGAAAATACCAAGTAACAGCAACAACAAAAGAATAAGCAAAATACTCTCACTAAAAAGCATAAAAATACAATATAATCAACATTTCCCAAAACAACATCAAAAGGACAGTGAGGAAAACAATTTTTTTCCTCTTCCTCCTCCAGCTTTATTGGATAGTTTAAAATTACATTCCTATTTTCTAAGACTTCAGTTGCTTTTTCCATCTGACTTTTAAAAACTGATTACATCAAATGAAACACAGTTGTTTAAGTGATATAGTATACAAAAATAACATCTTGATTTCTGTGAAAATGCATTTCTCTTCAATTCCTGAATAGCTCCAAATTATGCTTACTTTAAGCATAGATGTTTACTCTGGGTTTTAGATTTACTCTTTGCAAAAAATGTGTTCTAAATATTTGCCATCACCATTTGCGTATGCAGCATCAATGCTTTTAAATTGTTTCTATTTAAGCTTTTATTCTGATTTTCCTCCCATAGACATTAACAGGCATATTTGTCTTTTTATTTTGTTTACTCCCACTCAACTGTATGTTCTATGTAGGGCCTGATACAGATGTTACTTGATGTTACTTAATAGCTACTGAGGTCAGACAATCCAAGGCCATCATTATGCTAAAATTAACGTTATTTATGGAAGCTCACAGACACTTCCAAAATTGGTTTTTACCTCCTACATGGGAATATATTTAACAAACCAAGAAAGGGCTTACTGGACTGATTCAATTCTTCCCATTCATCAATCCCTATTCACCAGTGGCATGGAAAGGGGGTTCTTTAACAAAGCATTATTCATAACACCTCTACCAAACTAAACATAAACTTTTTTTGTAGTTAAATGCAGAAAGTCAAATTTTTTCCACCCCTTTCCTCCTTTTACATGGCAAGTAAAGCTCACTGGCCTGGGAGTAGCCTCTATCTGCCAACCTTTGGCCAGTGAAGAGGATTCAGAGAAAATAATACAACCATCAATCAGAAAAAGGAGGGGCGACAAAGGAAAATAATTAAGCTGTGGCCTCAATCGTGCATTCCCGTGCAAGGTGCCCTGATTTGCCACAGCAGTAACAGTTGACTTCACTTGTCTTGCTGCAGTTGATAGCTACATGACCAGTTTCACCACACCTATAGCACTTCACTTTGGTGCAGTCTTTTTGAATATGCCCTAATTCTCCACAAGAATAGCATTTCTGCTCATCTGCATGGTCACAGTCATGAGCCAGATGGCTTGGTTTGCCACAGTTGTAGCAGCATTGCTCCCGCTCTCTCTTGGGCTCCTTGCAGTCCTTGGCAATGTGGCCACCTCTACCGCAGTTATAGCAGGCATCCTCCTGAAGATCACAATCCTTGGCAAGGTGACCAGACTCACCACAGCGATAACAGATGTCTGGAAGAGATGAGGAAGCAAACTGGAAACCTCTATCCGAGGTAAAACCACTTCTGCCACGGCTTCTCATTCCACAACCACGGCCTCCACCAGTAGGGCATTCGCGGGCCCAGTGGCCAGATCGTCCACACTTGAAGCACTTATTGCTGCTCATGGCTGCAGTTTAGATCTTCCCACGTCGGGGCAGGCTTGCGCCGCCGGAGGACGAGAGGCAGGCTGAGGTGAGCGGCTCGCCAGGCAGTGGCTGTTTATTTTCAGAAGGGTCCTTGCTGGCGCCACATGCATAAAAATACAATATAACCAACATTCCCCCAAACAGCATCAAAAGGACAGTGAGGAAAACAATTTTTTTTTTTTTTTGCTAGTTAATATAGCTCAGAGAGGGGTGTGTATGCACTTGGTACAGGGGATTGGAAATTAGATGTATAAGTAGGGTAGAAATTTTAGTAGGAGGGATACAGAAAGAGTAAGGAAAATCTAAAGCAGGAGAGGGTTAAGATAAACAGGATAGCAAAAGGGGTAAGGTTAGAAAGAGAGTGATGGTGTAAAGGTCATGTTGGGATAGGGTTAAACAATGTTAAAGGAGAAATGAAAATAAAATGAAGAACACTAATTCAAATGTAAAATAAAGAGAAAATAAAATGGCACTTAAAAAATTAAAATAGCAGTAGTAATAATGCTTATTGAACCTAAAAATGTAATAATTAAAGTTAAAATCAAGTGAGGAAAAAAAGGAAAAAATTTGTTTCTTAAATAAAAGATGCAAAAAATGAAAATAAAATGAAATAAAATAGCCAAAAAAGTGTGCAGTTGTGAAGGCCATTCACTTCATCTGTTATCCTGTTTGGCATGCCTGTTTCTCAGTCCAGACAGTATTGCAGTTCCCCGTGTTTTGCTGCACCTCAGTGAAGATTCCTTAGTTTCTTATTTTGATCAAATAAAACTAGTAATAAACAGTCAGTTTGTACTCCAGACTCTAGGTGGTAGTGTTTCTGGATTGATGTCCCAGTCTTTTTGGCTGCTCTAGCCTTCTTTTTCTATGGCACTCAATACTGGGTTTTTGTTTGTTTGTTTGTTTTTGTTTTTTGTTTGTTTGTTTGTTTGTTTTGCCTCAGAGCTGAATCCTGGATGATTTCTCCCCACTCTGCTTCTCAGCTTCCAGAAAAGCAGTTTCCTCCTGCTGCCTTTTAGGGTCAGCCAATCTGGGTGATCTCTCCTTTGTAATCAGAAGCAAAGTGTTGCAAGGGAACCAGCCTAGGTGTGTGGTGGGCTAGTCTGCGTGCACTTACAAACAGACTGCTTTCCAACTCCTATGTTCTCCCTCAGTGTCAGATCAGAATGGGTTGCTCCCTAGAGAACCCCACTATTAGCAACCTTGGAGACCCCTGTCCACTCTCTCCAAACACGCCAGACCCAACAGCGGGGGGCTTTTGTGGACACAGATTTCCGTGGACACAGATTTTCACAGTCCCAGCGGGTGCACTTTTGTCTCTGCAACCACAGTGGCCACAGCTTCTGCGGCTGCTGCTTTCACTGATGGGACACAGACACCCCACGTTATCCCCGGCAAAATCCAACCTTTCTGTGGAATCCGCATGTCTGCACTGGACGGGGCACCCACAGTTGTGGTTTTTTCAGGTCTCAGGTAAGATCCCCAAATGTAGCACTGATGTGGATGTGAGAGGCAGCACATACAAGTGTTTACCTGGCCCTGAAAGCTGTTTTATTGAGAACAACTCTTTTAAAGGAAGAAAAATGGGTGTCAACTGAATTAAAGATAAATGGAAAACTGAAAGTCATCAGTAAAATGTTGCTTCAACAGCATGAAAGAAAGTCTTTTTTTGCATTGAATTGTTACTGGCAATGAAAAGTGGATTTATTTTGAGCATCCCAAACATACAAAATCACGGGTTAATCCAGGTCAACCATCAACATCGACTCAAGGCCAAATCGCTTCGGAAAGAAGACAATGATCTGTGTTTGGTGGGATCAGAGAGAAGTAGCAAACTCAATGTATCATCATTAGCTGTCATTGTTATACTTGGACAGTCTTGTTTCATCTACTCCCTCCCTTCCTGTCTTGATTATTTGAAAGCCAACCCAGATATCATAACATTTCATGTCTAACCTTATTAGTCCATAACTTTAAAGCAGCAGGACTCTTCCCTTTATTAATATCACTTCCCAAACAATAAATACCTAATAGTAAATATCCAACAAGGTTCTCAGGACATCCCTATCTCTTAAATGCTTGTCACTTTGCCTAAATGACAGAGTGAGTGGGTGGGTGGGGGAACAGATTTCTCCCTAGTTTCTGTGAAAATGCAAGTCCCCTTCTGTGAGGAAACCTCCTAAACTTGTTTTCCCTCAAGGTCACAGCCTGGGTAACCGAGGGCAGGGTATTAGACAGAAGTAAGAGGGAGGCCAGAGCCATAGAATGTCTCAAATATTGTGCCTGTCTTGAATTCAACCTTCACGGGATTCTAGAATTACCCACAAGAAAGAATCTCGATGCTGAGAGGCACACGGTGGGTGGGGAGATGCGTTTGCTTCTGTGCCAGTGGCTGGCTTTCAGGATGAGCCCAGCCCTGTGATGGAGACAGAGGGCATGACACCCTAATTGATCATAGATGCTCTTTCCTTCTCCTGAGTCTTTTCCTTTTTTGTTCTCAAAAGGCAGTTATTACTCTCAGTCACTTCAGGCTAAAATAAAATATTGTAGGCTGGGTGGTAAACAACCAATATTTATTTCTCACTCTTTTGGAAGGTGTAAGATCAAGGTGTCGGCAGATTCAGTGTGTGGGGAGAACCTACTTCCTGGTTGTTGTCCTCATCTGGTGGAGAGAAAGCTCCACTCACTTCCTCTTCTGAGGATACCAATCCCATCATGTGGGGGCTCCAACCCCCTGTCCTCATCTAGCGCTATCCACCTCCCAAGGTCCCAGTTCCAGATGCCATCATATTGGGGATGAGGGTTTCAGCACATAAGTTTTGGGGGTACTAGCATTCGGTCCACAGCAATTACACATTATCTTTTCAGGTGCTCTGACAGGTGGAAGAGAAAAATCTAACTCTAGGATCATCCTCACTGAGGCTTGTCTTGGTGGGAAAATCTGGCCGAGGGAAAAGTGCCACTGGGAACAGCATTCTCTGCCAGCACCCCTTGTCTCTGGCCTCCCTCAGCCCAAAGTGTCTCAGTAGGTTCCCAGCAGCTCCAGCACCACCTGTGTAGGGAGCCCCTGCTGAGCCCCTGCTGTGGTCTTCCTTAGGCCAATGTCTGACCTCCAAATCCTTTCTCTCACACCCCATTTTCCTGCAACTTCATCATCTATCACACAGTTGCTTTTGGAAGCAGGAACCTTGCATCATTTCTCTTACATTCCTGGTGCTGAGCAGAGAAGCTAACACTCAGTATTCATGAAATAAATGCCTGTGCAGCTGGACTGAATTAAGTCCAGGAAGGGGGAGACCTAGGCAGTTGGACAGTTTGGGAACCGTGTTGCAGAGGTGGTCCCTCGCCAGAGAACACAAGTTCCTGAGGGTGCACAGGGTTTGAGGAGCTTGTACATAACACTCCTGTGGGTGTTTGGAATCAGTAATGTGCTAAAGCTGGTCAGATCAAGGCGACACCTCTGTTACCAGTAGAGGTTTGGAGAATGACAGCTGGGTGGCACCATTGAGTTCCTAAGACTCATCCCAGACTTAATCATTTAGCCATGCAGTCACAGGCTGTTTGGGACCACTGAAGGTCTCCAGAACAGCGTACTAATTAGCAGAGAAAGGGGGTGGGTGGGCCAACAAAAGGAGAGGGTGAGGCAGGGGCCGCCCGGACTTCATCTGGCTTCCCATTTTCACTAATTTCATGATCTCTGCCCAGATGTCACCCCAATGCCTGACCTCTTCCCTTTGCAGCTGCGGAGGTGTCGAACAACCCTCCCTCCTCGAGTTCCCATACATGATTGTGCAGACTTCGCGGCTAAAGAAGCTGCTTTACAACACAGCTCCACCAACATCGGGAATTTTCTGTAAAGGAGAATAGGACCACTTGGCCTGCCGCCAGTTTTACAGCCTCCCAGTTAAGATGGAAGGCCTTTTAGGTATTTAAAAAGTTGAAGAAATAGCCGAAACTGGTTTGGCTTAATGGATAGAGTGTCGGACTGCAGACTAAAAGATCCCGAACCCAGTGAAGGGCATGTACCTTGGTTGCGGGCACATCCCCAGTCGGGGGTGTGCAAGAGGCAGCTGATCGATGATTCTCTCTCATTGATGTTTCTAACTCATTCTATCCCTCTCTCTTCTTCTCTGTAAAAAATAAATTAAAAATATATTTAAAAAATGATCATTTCTTAAAAAAAAGTTGAAGAAATAAAAAGAAGAATAACGTTTCATCACCACATAAGAAAGCCAAATGAAATTCAAATTTCAGTGTTCACAAAGTTTTATGGAATTCAACCTCACACATCACTTATATCTTGTCCATCCACCATTTCCTTTGTGAGTGACTGAGATCATGTAGTCTGCTGAGCCACTCTCTGACTCTGCTCTATGAAACCCAGTTCCTTTCTTCCCCCAGCCACTGCCTTTGCTTTCCCCAAGGCCTCACCCCATCCCACCTCTGTGGCCATTTTCCTTTCTCCTCACATGTCCATATCCCCTCCCACCTTTCTCCTCAGTCCCCTTATGCCTCCAAAATTTCCCCCAGAACATCCTCTCTCAAATGGTAATGGTGATGGGCATCATCCTTTATAACCTATGATGAAATCAGAGCACATTTCTGAATGATATAAGGAATTCCACATCCAGCTTCTAATATAATGTATATCTTTCCTCACAGTTGACTCACCTTCCTTCCTACAAAACCCTCCCAAAGATTCCAGGATTGTATCTAGCTAAGTTATTATTTACCTCCATGATTTTTAACAAAACAAAAAAGTTTTTTATTTTATTTTATTTATCTAGAAGCACTAAAAGAACATGAATGACATGTCTAATGCAAGGAAGAAAAATTAAAACTGAACTTAAGCAAAAAGCGAATAAGTTTCTTACAAGCATAGACAGAGATAGTGAGTCTGAAAAAAAAAAAAGCTAATTGTAGAAGTCAGCTGAAAGTGCTCAGCGTCCTTGAGTAATACACAAGTTAATTAAAATGGCAAGCAAAATCAGAATGCATATCACAAGGATAAAAAATAACCCATTGTTAGAAAGCATCCAGTTTTTTACTCTGAGGTGCACCTTGGACAACAAGTGACTCCGGTTGCACCTTGTGACATGTGCTTGCACCTTGGCCAGGTAGCTCCTGCGCTCTTCACAGGTGCCACCTCCTTGTCTCAGGAGCATCTGTGCATCAGTGTAGAGGTCGTTTGTGTAGAAGGCGCCCTTGTGCTCTCTCTGCAGGCTCTTGATCACAGCCATCAGCTCCTCCAGCTGCTTCCTCTGCTCCTCCCCGGTGGCCCGGTTGTTGAAGCCACAGTACCTCCTCCCACACTCCTGGATCAGGCTCCTCAGCCTGTAGTTGTCCGTATTGACTACATACTCATCCAAGGATTCACCCTCTAAGTCCTCCTTGTGGGTGAAGAGGACCACCACATATCTCATGGCACCTGCCCCAAAGACCTCCTTCACCCTTTCCGCTGCCTTTGTGTCCTGGTCAGTGAAGCGCCCCAGCTGTGTCACCAGCAGCAGCACATGGGGCCCTGGAGCTGAGAGCAGATAGCAGTCCCCGATGTTCTTGTACATCTCTTGGTCTGGGGACTTTTCATCAAAGATGGAGGGTGTGTCAACCACCAGGATGTCCCTGCCATTCCACGTGCCTGTGGCCCTCTGGCACTTCCTGGTCATGGTCTTGGGACTCAGTTTAGATTCAAACTTAGGCTGGCAGAGGATGCTGTTTCCAGTGGCACTTTTCCCGCAGCCGGATTTGCCCACCAGGATGAGCCTCAGTGAGGATGATGATGAAAACTGGTTATTTTCTACACTTCCTGCAACAGAAAAATTGTGTCCTACTAAGATATTGCTGCAGATATTTTGATCATGGACCATCATGGTATCTCATTAAATCTTTGGACCTCCCTCCCAGGAAACTGTCATATCTAAATACACAGCCAAATTTGCTGACAACTGAGTGAGGTTCTTGGGTCATAGAAAGTCTACATCGAAAGCCCATGTTGGACCCATAGCCAAGAGTAAGAACTGCTACACTGACGAGGATGCTCCAAGACCTTAACCCTGACGAGGGAAAAATACAGTTTTTCTGAAAGTATAGTGGTCCTTGTGTTTCTCCAGGGATGGTGCTTAGGCCAATTTCATGCTAAATAAATGTGAGATTAGGAGGAAGCAGAGGATGAGAACTCACACATGGGAAAATATTACCACCTCTTTTTCACCCACAAATTCCAGGCACACATGTGTAGAAGTGCTCAAGACATTCATAAACCTCGGGATGAAAGGGAGCCACAGATGAGATCTCTCACCAAGGACCAGCTGAGGTACCTGGACCTTGGCTCTTTGAGTGGGAGTTGGATGCTTGATACTGAGACAGAAGGAAGGTCAAAGATAATGTCAAAGGCAAAGACAGGGAGATGACTTCCTACGGATGGCTGAAGAGGATGGAATTTAGGACCATTAGTATAATAGTACATGTGATGGGAAGGTCACCTACTTGGTTGATTGAATTACAGGAAGTTAACAGAAATGATGCTGGGGAGGGAAACATTGGGTCAAGAGCTAAAACCTTCAAGGGATAAAGGAAGATGTGAACCGATGTTCTAGAATTCTTATGAGCCCAAATGGATTCCAAATTCACTGTAGGCTTCTAAAATCTATTATTTTATTCCTACTCTGTATTGGTTCTTCCTTTTCTGCAGGGTTCTGGGATGTTTTTATAGCAAACATGATTACTAAGTCTCTCTGGAAAACTTTTTCATTTTTTCAGCTCAGAGCAGACAAGAAAAGAGAAAATTTACTCACAATACAGTTCAAAATCTTGCAACTTCTGACTTGAAGTTTCATTTACACATTTCCCACATGCTGTGTCTGGAGAGCATTGTACTAGGGGATCAGGTGTGTGAGTGTGTGTGTGATGGTGGTTGGGAAGGTAAAGAAAAAAATGAGCATTATATTTTTCTTCTTCAGTTTAAAATCACTGGGTTTCTGTCACTCTGTTTGAGGTAAGGGACTGGTGACTTTTAAGAAATTGAAGGCTTTCTTACCTTTAGCCATAGCTCCATATTCATTCTTTTGAAACCTTTCCATTCTCTTCTGGAATAAAAACAGGAACAGAATAAAAAGCAAGTGTCTAATACCCTTATAATTAAATACCCATTTTTAAATAACTGAAAAGGAGCAAAGGGAAGGCCAAATATTATAGTCATTTGTGCAACTTGGCCAGGAAGCTGCAGTTTAGCACATGCCCAGTAAAGTTTGGGTGACATAGGGAAGGTACTTGGTTGTCAGTCACAACTAGGAATGGGTTGAGCAGAGTAGGCATTGCCTCTGCTAGCATCGGGAGATTTGAGGTACTTAAGCTCTGAAACAAAGTGTAGCTCCACTGCTTCCTCCTGGAGCTTGACTCCTGGCCTGGGGACTCTCAGGGTCCTGATCTCTTGCATTTGCCATGTAGCTCACAGCGATGGAGACCCCACACAATGGACTGATAGACTGCAAATAGCTTAATGCTGTGCTGGACCCAGCCCACCATGGAAAAGAAACTTTGGACACTGACTTTGCTTCTAGCTCTTCTGAATCCTCAGCTGCACCTCTTCCAGTACTGAATTGAAGAAAATGGGGTTGAAACCCCATTTAATTCCATGCAAATAAAAATTACTCATCCTCCTGTGTAGTCTCAGGAAATTCTTTTTGCACATCTCATCCTCCCTCAGCAGCCACTGGAAATGTTTATTCCTGGGGCCCCAATAACCTCACTCCTATAAGCAAAGGAGAAAGACAATCAATGCAATTCTCTGATAAAAACCCACATGGGGGTTGGTAAGGCCTGAGGGCACTTCCAGTTCAGACACCTAATGCTACTTCTCCATGAGGAGCCATTTTCATTGTTAATTTCCTAACTCACATTATACTTGCAAACATCAATAAATAACTTTCAGCAAACCAGGTGATGCTAACACATTGCATTGTTCTCACAGTGCTTGGTGGCTTTTTTTGGTTTTGTTTTGTTACTTAGCTTACAGGAAAGTAGCAAATGTTTAAAAACAATCAGTTGCTTATGTCCCTCCAACTGGGAAAGGCATGAAATGAAGAAAGCATTCTTTTATAGAACGAAACATAAGAGTGGAACATTATTTTATTTCATTTTATTTTTTTGGAATCAAAGTAGGCCAACTTTCTAGAAAAAGTAGTTCCTCTCGTTGACACAGAAGGATTTATGTCCCAGATCCAACCTTCCCCTGGAAAGGTGCACTGTACTTTTCCTCTTGGCCACCAGATACTCATGTGACACAAAGAGTGCCGGGCACTGGAAGGTCTCATTACTTCAAACAAGCCAATGCCATTTACAGCAAGGCAATTTCTTCCTCTGTTCTAGCAAGTTTGTGGTTAGCCCCCTGAGCAGTTGGTAGAGAGAAAGGGGTGAAATGGTCGAAGAGAAGGAATCAACAGTGAGGACAAATTCAAGAAAAACTCACTTCCTGCTTAGTGTTTAATCAAATGTTTTTTCTGGCTGGTTCTGAGGTCCTAGTCTCCCAGTGATCTCCATTCTGTATCCAAGTAGATTTAAACAGAAATTGGCACAACCATTGGCATAAATGTTTCGTTCAAATGAGGCATAATATTGTGTCACTTATCTTGGTGTTAGAAAAGGCAAGTATATCACATACAACTATACCTAAGATAAGGTTGTATTTATTTATTCAGTTTTAAATATTATGCAGTTATGAAACATTTTTAAGTGAAGAAATACACAGAATTATAAAACAAAACCTACAATTTGCAATGAACAAATATAAATATTTTGGCATGTTTACTGAAGCTATTCAGTTTGATTAAAAAGCTAACCCATTACACATAGAATTTCATATATGTTTTTGACTCCCCAGTCTCTTTTACCCTCCCTGTGCCCTTCAAAAGCAACCAATATTCTGAGTTTTTTATGTATCATTTCATGTATGTACTGAGTTATATATATACCTATATCTATAGGTTATGTCTAATACTGTTTTTGCATTTTAAACTTTTATATAAATGACATTATTTGTGTAACATTTTATCCAATAATATTTTTTAAAAGAAGGTCCAGATATTTTTTTAAAAATATATTTTTATTAATTTCAGAGAGAGGAAGGGGAGAGAGAGAAAGAAAGAGAGAGAGAGAGAGAGAGAGAGAGAGAGAGAGAGAGAGAGAGAGAGAGAGAGAGAATCTCTGAAACACCAATGATGAGAGAATCATTGACTGGCTGCCTCTTGCATGCCCTCCACTGGGGATCAAGACTGTAACATCAGGCATGTGCCCTTGACTGAAACTGAACCCGGGACCCTTCATAATTTGATCCAAACCAGATAGTGCCAGTTACTTTTTTAATATATGTTTTTATTGATGAGAAAGAGAGAGAGAGAGAGAGAGAGAGAGAGAGAGAGAGAGAGAGAGAGAATGGGAAAGAAAGAGAGAGAGAGAGAAATTGATGTGAGAGAGAAACATTGATTGGCTGCCTCCCAAACATGCCCCAACCAAAGATTGAACCCAGGTATGCGCCCTGACTTGGAATTGAACCTTTGACCTTTTGGTGTATGGGAAAATGCTCAACAAACTGAGCCACTTTATTAACAAACTTTTGAGTTGTCTCAAAATACATGCTTGCTACAAAACAATCCCCACTTACTACATATTTCTGTGCAACAATTGACCTGGGATAGACAGCTCCCACCTGACAAGATACTGTCAGTATGACTCAAGAGCACCATGCAAATCCTCACTGACAGCAGCCCTGTGTGAGAAGTCCCCAAATCTGCACTTGCACTTGGCGATGTTCCACTTTTAATATTTTTTTATCACCCTTATGGGCATTTATAAGGATGTCTTCATCCATTTACACTTGCATTTTACTGATTACCACTGAATTAAAAAAAGTATGTATGCTATTTCAGGTTGTTTCTGTTATATAGAAATAATGCTTGCATGTTTTTCTATCCACTTAGGATTTTTTAGGGCCTCCTTAGGAAAACCACCCATTTTCACATCATCAGATGTGAAACTTCCTTCTTTCATTTCTTCCTTTCTTTTACCCTTTCCTCCCCCTTCTACCCTCCCCCACTTAAGCCCAGAGAAGAGCCTCTCCTCACCACCCTCTCTTATACCCTGTCCTTGACTCTGGAAATTATACTCTGGCTCTTGCTAAACCTGTTCCGATTCTATGACACCTTTTCTACTTTAAATGACCTTTTGTGAGGTTTGGAAACCTCAGAAAATATGTTTGAATCCACCTCTGGCAAAGACGATGACAGTTGTGACCATGTTGATAGTGAACTTCATAGTTGTAATAACCCTCTGTGTGGCCACTTATAACTTCCTAAGTTCTTTCCTGCAATTATTTATTCTTCTCCTAAATTATTATAGTTTTAAATTTTTGATTAAAACATTAGGAACCTGAGCAACAAATGACCCTTCCAAGGTCACACAATTGTCTTAGAACTAAAACTGAAAAGCAGCTCCTCTTGCCAGCCAATTCTCCTTGGTTCCACAGGAGGAAAGGAGATTAATCCAAATAAGTCCACAGCCTCCTGGACCCCACATACAATGTGGCTGTCTCATGGTCAGGACACAAACTGAGGCTGACAGAGACAACTGTACCGTGAAATCCTGAATGCATGCTTTTCCAAAAAAAAAAAAAAGATTATTCAAAGAGAAAACTGCCTGCAGGAACTGCTCTGAATTGAAGCATTTCAGTGTAAACCAATCTGGTGTTTTACTGACTTGATTATCAGTGTGACCCAAATAGAGCGAAGTGCCTGACCCAGAAAGTCAATCAAACTCAGGTTGCATTAGCCAAGATGCAGGGCAGTAGTTCTCCTGGACCCTCTTCTGAATGTGTCAGGAGACAGGAGAGACTTGTGTCCACAAGGGAATGGGCTTTTAGGCAGAAATGATCAAATAGCAAAGTGTACTGAGTGACAAAGGATGTTGATGGAGATGCTAAAATGAGTAACAGACAAAATATTAACAGGACTAAATAAAGCCTAAGAAAAGACTGGGGGAAGCATGGCAGACCTGCAGGATTGTGATGCAGGCCAATCTCAGATCAGGCAGAAATGTCAGTGTAGGCAAGAATGGGAGAATCAAGAATGGAGGCAGATTCCTTCTCTAAAAGGAAAATTCTACTCATCTTCTCCAAAATGGGGCCAGGTATCACCAGAGAGTGGCAGGCACTGTGCAAGCTGAAGTTGTAACAGCATTGGCAGGACACTAGGAAGGTCTGGTTCAGACAGGGGGATGAAGGAAATGAATATAATGTACTTTGATTTTATAATGATTTTAAGATTACAAGAGCCTGATTTTATCATGATGACACCTTATTGTATCAAACCATGAGAAAGCAGGCTCCCTTCTGCTGTTTTAGGAAAATCAAACTATTTCTTGTCTGCCTTGTTCATAAAATCAAACTATTTATTGTCTCCTTCACTCACCTGCCATATTTCCAGGCATTACAGTCCCCTGTTTTCTAGTTTAGTTCTTGTGATTTCTGGGTACTTCTCTCACATAAGGCTCAGCAGACAGTGGGATTATCCTTGTGTCTGAACATGGGTCTGTTCTCCATGCAGCTGAGCCCTATGTAATGTCACAGGAAAGGTGTGGGCTATTTGGGGGAGAACAGAGTGGTTTCCAGAAGGACAAGGTCATGAGACAATGTGTACTCAGGGGTCTCCTGTGGAACAGGTGTGCAGTGGGGCAAGGTTAAGAAATTAAGAGGGATAAACTGAGAAGCATCCTCCCACCCCCCAAGCTGGGCACCTGGGGAGGCTTATCCATCAAGGGGGATGAGAATAATCCTGAAATCCTGTGAGACCCAAGAAGATCCAATGGGCTAAGCGGTAGGCAGTTAGCTGGAAAGCCTGAAGCGCTGTGGAATGTGCTGGGCTGTGGGCTCAGTGCGAGTGGTTCCCAGGCCTGTTTCCCCCACTACACACCCAGTGTTGCTTCCAGCGCACCATCATAGCCCTTTCACCCATGGGTGAGCACAGAAGTAGGGTAACCTGGGTGAGGTCACACCAGCAGTGAGTGGCTCTGACTAGGCTGTGAGATATCA